ATACAGTTTCCCATATATCCTGTCTCGCTGTCTCTGTTCTGTCAGTATCCCTGTGTATGATCCCTATGTATAATACAGTTTCCCATATATCCTGTATCGCTGTCTCTGTTCTGTCAGTATCCCTGTGTATGATCCCTGTATATGATACAGTTTCCCATACATCCTGTCTCACTGTCTCTGTTCAGTCAGTATCCCTATGTATGATGTGGCAGCAAGGACTGGAGTTGAGACTTAAACAAGAGTACCAAGAGCCAGCAGTGCACACTTGTTTTATGGGAGAGATGTAGGGGCAAGCATACCTGGCCACCACTGAAACTTGCTAATTAGCCTACGAGGCAGATGGTAGTCTTATCCCCTGTCTGAATTCCTTAAGTAGAACATGGGTGACAACGCTGTCAGCCAGAGCTGCGTGGTTGTTATAGCATGGGCTTTTCATCTTGTTCTATAGGTGACACTTATTTGTCACATTGAATTTTGTATTTAGTCCGTCTATCTTTGGGATACTGTCTGTATGTAATGTATAGTCTGAATTCAGCCTACGTCTCACAAGCTGCTTCCTTTCTCATTATCTGTAGTTACACACACTGAGTTTTGCCTGTGTTTCAGAAGCTGCTAACGTGTTATCTGTATACTTTTCTTTGGAATTTCCTCCTTCCTGCTTGTTTGTGTCTTCTATAGCAACACTGAATATACTCAAACAATATAGCAGTGCAGATTATGTAAATATTTAGATGGGGAATGCTGATAGCCTATGTTAGTATAAAATTTACTTTTTTCAAATTAATTTTGCATCTTTGTAATAGGTATTATATGTCAAATAGAAAATTTTTACTTTCCCCTTGGTTTAATACAAGCTGTAGCTATCTTAGAACCTATCCACATACATGATGGAACCAAGAGAGAAGAAGAGGGGTCACAAGAATTCCATGGCAAGGAATTCATACACTATTGATAGCTTGTTGCTAGCTAAAGGCTTTTTAAAACTTGATTCAGACACCTTGAGAGAAAGGATTATTTTCTTATTTCCTATTGGCAAAAAGAATGTAGTAGCTTTTGTCTGTAAAGGCCCCACCCTTTTAAACTTGGATTTTACAATCATTATTAATATGCTCAGAAATAAATAAATTAGGAAGGCACCAAGAGAAATAAAATTCAGAAACAACTATCTAGGACCTTATAAAAATTTATGACAGAAAATCTTAGCCATCATGACACTGTTTTAGAAATTATTTAATTAAAATACCAAACCCATATAATAATTAAATAATAACCTTCAGTTACCAATGATGAAGTGGTATACATTAAAATATTCTGCTCTGAATTGTGTGTGCCTTTTAAACACAGTAAGAATACATTTACCTTGGTTTTCTTATACTGCATTAAAAAAATGAAACCTGTGAGAGTTTACTCCTTCTATACAAGTGTTTTTCCTCATTTATCATTTTTTTCCATATATGATACCAACTAGCATGTAAGATTTATAAAATCAAAGACTCATGTCCTTTTTATTCTCTTCTGCAAAAGGAAGAACTCTCCCAAGCTAAGGTAGGGCCTAGCAGAGAGTAAATGCAATAATTAGAGTACATGTTAAGCCGCTGTAGCAAAGAGACCCCACTACCATCAAATACCATAGCTAAAAAACACAGAAACTTACTTCCCTTTTGTTTAACTACAGTCCCCGGGTGAGTAGGTGGCTTTTCTCTACAGCATCATTCGGGAGCCCACTTTCTTCTCTTCTGTTACTCTGCCATCCCGTAGGGTATTATTGTCTTAGTCCACATGGTCCCAGCTGCCTGACCCAGCTTATCTTTTCTGTGTATCTGCTTGTGGGGGGAGAGAGAGAATTTCTTATATAAACCTGATCTGGATGTTTTACACATAAATTATGTTTGCCTCCCATTGGCCACAGCTAAGTCACATAGTCATATTTATTAGCTGTAAGAAAGGCTCTGAAGTATATTCTCTTATGTTTATGGCTAAAACTGAGGGAGTATTTTTTTAGTAAATGGAAAAGTAAAGACTAAAGTTTGGTATTCACTGCCACAGTGGGCTCTAAATCTAAGTTTAGAAAACTATACAAATTTTTAAAATTGGTCCACAGTTTAAATTGAAAATCATTTAAGATTTATTAAAGTACCAGAAGGGGCAAAGAGGTGTAGTTAAAACGTCAGGGATCTGGGTTTGGCATTGTCATGACTAGCTGAAACCCTCATTATGTTGTACTTACAGTCTGGAATTTGAGATAATTCTAGGTGAAATGGATACAGTTTCTCTTTAATTTCACAGTAAAAATGTACTGTGTTAATCTTTCTTAAATTTTTGAAATGTATATACTGCCTTTCTCGATAATAATTGATATTAGAAAATATATTGTTTTTAATTCTGGTTAAAAATCAAAGTAAATACAGCTTAAATTACTGTGAAGTAAATACAGTCTTCATAAATATGTGCTGAGTAAATAGCTGCAAATACTAAGGCTTTTATGTTTATACTTTCATACTTCACATTTCTACTGATTTTTTAAGTCTAAATACCTTTATAATATATTACACATGGGAAATTTTTAGAACAAGCCCCCAAAATGGAGCCAAATTTTTCAATAGTATTATACTTTTATGTTCCCTTTCTCTTTAGAGTAATATTGAAGTGTCTATTTTATTGTTTATAATGTGGAAAGTAAAATTTAGTAGTTTATTAGAAGAAACAGAGATATACATTAAAGTATATGTTTTTAATTCTTATTTATAAAAACATATTTAACTTTCTAAAAATTGTAAGATGACGAATATTAAATTCTAAATGTGTCCATGATAATGTTTTTGAGTTTAATTTACAGCTATACTTTTCTGGTCCTATAGGGTAACTCTTGATCGTTAACTATTATTTGTATTACTTTCCTTTTGGCACCAAATGAAAATTGTTTTTTATATCCTCGTAAAGAAATATCAAGTATTTATTTACATGTTAGATTAAAGAATAGAGTTAAAAACTGAAAACATTTAAATTTGCTTTTCTTAGGATATGTCAGCTCAAGGATCATCTTCACAGCTTCCTAAACCTTTTGATCCTGAGCCAGAAGCTAAATATGGTACACTGGATGTGACTTTTGACTATGACTCACAAGAACAGAAGCTTCTGGTAACAGTGACAGCTGTCACAGACATCCCAACTTATAACAGGACAGGTGGCAACTCATGGCAAGTACACCTTGTTCTTCTACCTATAAAGAAACAGAGAGCAAAAACCAGCATCCAGAGAGGACCATGCCCTGTCTTCACAGAAACATTTAAATTTAATCATGTTGAATCTGAGATGATTGGAAATTATGCAGTTCGGTTTAGACTGTATGGTGTACATCGCATGAAAAAAGAAAAGATTGTGGGGGAAAAGATTTTTTATTTAACAAAATTGAATCTTCAAGGGAAAATGTCATTGCCTGTGATATTGGAACCTTCTTACAATCATTCTGTGAGTATCTCATCAAGGGCCTAAATACAACTTAAGTTTGTGATATATAAACACACATTTTAAAAATCTATGATAAACTCAACAACTTTCTCAGTCTGTTTTTTACATAATAAGCATACCTTTGCAAAAATTTCTAAGCCCTGGATAGGTAGGTATAATTTTATCTATAAAAATTTTCTCTGAGGATGATTCATGATTTATTTTATGTATTTTATTTTCTCCTTCACAGAGTTCTAGCCCAGGGTCTTACATATTTGATCCTTTGTTGAACAGTTATTAAATGGTTAATTATGACATCATCCAAACTCCTTACAGAATTTATTATTTTATTTCCAGGGTAAAACTATATAATATGTTAAGAACTACCTTAAAAATAAATAAATAAAAGAACTATCTAGTCCTATATCTTATGCTATATATTGCAGAAATTTTCTTATACAGAATATGTACTGCTGCCTAGGTCCTGACTGGTTATCTCTCTAACACTGCTGTGACATTATTCTGAAAGCTAAAAAAAAAAAAAACTAACCTGATTATACTTTCTATTCTTTTAAAAAGATTTTGAAGTATATCTAAGAGAACGCTTAAGCTAATACTTTGAGCTGGTTCCTTCTTTTCTCATTTTTCCTCCAGACTATAATCACCTGCAAATCTCTTTCCGTATTTTTAGCTGAATTCCCACAAGGCATTGCAACTCACAGGAGAGAAATGTCTGCATTGTTTATTTTTACCAGGGAGATGCATTATGCCACATAGTTATTTAGGTTATGAGAAAATCTGTGATATACTAGATGTGTAAATTACAATTTATATTTGCTCCTCTCTATTAACGCTGAATAAAAAACATTTTAAGATATAAATATATAGATTTTAGAATAGATTTATATTTTAAAATAAAGATATCATATTTCAGAATTTTCCCCCCCAAATTCCCATGATTCAAAATGTATAGGTTTGTTTTTAAGCTTTTAAATGTATAAGCTTAAGTCTAAGTCTAGGGTCTCATTGTAGATACACCAGGCAGCATTTGATCTTGTAGGACCTTTGAATAAATTGAACCATACCATTTTAACTAGATGTTTTTAGCATCTTTAAATACAAAAAGATGATGGTAAATCACATGGGTTTATAGGATAAAATTTAATCTTTACTGGAAAAATTAATAACATATTATTCTTTAAAATTTTCAGGATTACAAGTTTGGGGAAATGCCTTTTTAAAATGGTATCAGTAGTTTATAAAAGGAGAGAAAAAATAAAGGGTAGGCACTATTTCAAGGGGAAAATGACAAATTTTTCATAAAAGTGAAGAATCTTTGATTAGTGGCATGGTTTTTAAACTTTTCTCATTATTTGTTCTGAGTGATCACTAGTTATTCTGTGGAAAATACATAGAAATAACTGATTTAAGTTAGAAGAGAAACTGTATCATCAAGAGGTATGTATTTTGTATTGCTTTATTTACTTTAAATTACCTTTTCCCAATTCAGTTTTAATTATATTCATTTCACAAAGAAAATGAAGCCATAGAAAATAAAGTGGTCTTATCTCTGGTCAAACTAAATAATGTTTATATGCATCTGTATTACATACGTTGGTCAAACTTTTTTTTGCCAGCCAGCACAATAAATTTCTGAGTAGTCTTCACTAAAACGAAAATGTGATAAATAAACAGCTTTTAAGACCTAACATTTAAATGTGAATAAATCTATCTTCTGCTCTGAGAGAATTTTTTCTCTGCTTCTATATACTTCTCAAATTCAGTAGGTTGTGTATCTAATTGTTCCTCCCTCTTGTTTTTCTTCTTTCTCTACCTTCTCAAAATCCCATTGCTTATTTTGGCTGTTATGCCAAAAACAACCTGGCACACCAAAATTGTGAGGGTAATACTCATATCATGTTTCCCTGAAAATAAGGCACTGTCTTATTTTTTCTCAAGAAGACACACTAGGGCTTATTTTCAGGGGATGTCTTCCTCTCCGTGCTGAAATGCAAGCCACTCCCATCACTAGGTCTTATTGTTGGGGTAGGGCTTATATTTAACAAATGCATAGAAATCCTGCTAGGGCTTATTTTTTGGGTAGGTCTTATTTTCAGGGAAACATGGTAATTCTGCCTATCAGTCATCTTGTAGTAAAAAATATAATAGCAATAGTATATATATTCTCTTTAAGTTTTAATATTAAGTATATGGAAAAATCTCATGATCGTAGTTTACTTGGATAATTTGGCTTTAATTTGATAAGATAATATATGTGTAAGAGATATAATTAAACATTCTAGTAGCTTTTGAATAATTACTTAACGTTTTTGTTGGAAGAATATTAGCCTCTGGACAAGGGAAAGTTTCGATATAGCCAAAGAATTTACAAACTACAATTAAAATATCTTTAAAGTTTATAGTTTATTTTCATGGGTGATAATAGAAAAGTTGAATTTTGCATACAAAGTTTAGTTTCATAGTTAGTTTTTCAGGAACTGATTAAATCAATACATTGAGAGAAAAAAAGACAAGTTATCGCCAAATTGACTTTCTGGGGACTAAACAATAAGTTTCCCTGAAGGTAAGACTAAAATTTAACATTAAGACAAAGATGGAGTTTGAGGTATGCCTCCTTAATCACTGCATGATACAAAATATACTAAGAGTTGAAAAGCATGAATTTTTTCTACTAACAAGCTGTGTAAATTTATCTGATTTGGCATTAGGTTTCTGATTAGGCAAATGAGAAAATAATCTTTAGATTAATCTTAAGGTCCCAACCATATCTGATATTCTTTGATTCTACTTATATATAGAGAGGAGGAATTTAGGTAAGAACAGAGATGGGAGAATTTTAGATGAGTTTTGTATGCTTAATGTATGACATTTTTGTGGTGGACTTTTATTACATTTTCTCACTGTTTCATACCTTTTCTTTTTTCTTTTTCTTTTTTTTTGAGACGGAGCCTCAAGCTATCCTCCTGGGTACTCTGAGTGCCATGGCATCACGCTCACAGCAACCTCCAACTCCTGGGCTCAAGCGAGTCTCCTGCCTCACTCAGCCTCCCAAGTAGCTGGGACCACAGGCACCTGCCACAAAGCCCGGCTATTTTTTGGTTGCAGCTGTCATTGTTGTTTGGCGGCCCGGGCTGGATTCGAACTTGCCATCTTGGGTGTACATGGATGGCGCCTTAGCCACTTGAGCCACAGGCACCGAGCCT